ACTTAAATTTCTAATGTAAACCATAAATCTTGATTTAAAAACAAAATACATATAAAACAATTTATGAAGAATTATTATTTGACTACGATCACAGGCTCAAAGCGGCAAGCTCAATATAGGCTTGGGCACATCCTACCCTAATTCACTCCTTCAATTTAATTAGTAAATCACGTGACGCCGCACGTGACATTAAATTTCCAATCTCTTAGATCACATCGCACGCTCTCTGCCAATTTAATATTCACCTCCTTATTTTGCCTTCAAATATAGTCAAGATGTTAATGAAAACATAGGGATTCTATCAGCGGTCCATTGAAAATAATATTTATATGAATTTTGATTTGACCTTCATAAGATATCATTCATAAAATGTGGTCGGTCTCCTTAGAAAATTACATACTTTTGTAACTTTTTTGAATTCCACATGTTTTTATAATTTCTTATACAATAAATTTATATGACTAGAGAAGCTTGGAATTGGCCATGGACGGTCAAGATGTCCTCCTCAGCAATTATATTTGAAGAATTTGGACGGTCCCAATCGCTTTCTCATCATTATTTGTCATTTTTCTTGGAGCTAAAACAATTTCAAAGTATTCAAACCCAATAATAATTTTAAAAAATTCCCATAAAAAATATTAGAAGAAAAAAAAACAGACGGCTTGCCAATCATTTAGTGACCATTCAAATTAATTAAATAATTCATCCTTTTTCTTATATTTAGCATAATTTAAAAAAATTCCCATAAAAAATATTAGAAGATAAAAAAACAGACGGCTTGCCAATCATTTAGTGACCATTCAAATTAATTAATTAATTCATCCTTTTTCTTATATTTAACATATATTAAAGAATATATTTGATACTCAATCTTGGCTTGCAAAAAGAAACAAACCGACCAAAAAAAAAGGTTGGAGTGGTGGATAGTCAATAAAACCTTTTCTGTGGTCAAGGCTTACCTCACAAGAAACATTTGGTAGAATATTTGCTTCCACCGCCATTGTCAAATTTGACATTTTATTTGCTTTTGAGGCCCTTTGATTGTCCTCTTCTGGCTGTTGGGCCTTTTTTTTATGAGAATCTAGTGGGCTTAGCTAGACCTCGAGGAAATAGAACCTTGGATATACGGATAAATCTGCTTAAATTACAAGCCTTTTACAAAACAGGAGATGGAGAAAATAGAACTTCGAATATAGGGATAAATCCACTTAAACTACAAGGCCCTTACCCTTTGCTTCTATTTTTTCAGTACTTTCTTTCAAGATATCCGTAAATTGGAGGCCCGATATTATCTGCATGGCCGATATTTTAATCCTTGGGCATGGGATCATTAAACCAACCCACATGAGTACCCTGAATCAATGATGAACTCAATCATATCCAATGTCAACAGTTTGCCAAGTCCAAGGCCAGAGACTAAGCATTGATTGAAGAACCTCTCTTTCCTTGTCTTTTCTTCTGTCTCATAATTTTAGTCATATTTTACAAACTACGGAAAGATCTGTGGATAATTAGACAGAAATTTAGCCTGTTCACAATTTTTATTATCTTAACTTAGCTTGTAACGCGTTTTTGTGTCTCCTCCAGTGTGCATCTTTTACAGATTTTTTTTCTCCAGATATTCTATTTCCTACATTGCCATTGACCAACAAATTTGACAGTTCACAAAGCAAAGTTTATGATAATGGAATGAGGAACAGGAAGTCTTTGGTTTAATTTCCCCCAAAAAGAAAAGAAAATCTTTGTTAACTTTGTGGTTTTGAGACAGTTCACAAAGCAAAGTTTATGATAATGGAATGAGGAACAGGAAGTCTTTGGTTTAATTTCCCCCAAAAAGAAAAGAAAACTTTGTTAACTTTGTGGTTTGATCTGTCCTCAGTTTCCAAGAGATCAATACTTTAATGCATTATGCAAGAGAAATCTATATATTCTGCTGTGGAAAGTACTTTTAGAGGGCTTAGTTGCATTGCTTTCAGTCACATCTACAAAGAAAGCATGTGCTCCACATCCTTTTGGAAAATGTAAGCTGGAAAGTTCAAAAAGATTTTGAATATTCTATTAGCCGTTCAGATTGACTGAGATTTGGATACATAGTTTCATGCAAAACCAATAATTTTTCAGTAAGATGTATATTTCTGTCTATATATACTACTGCCAGAGCTATGTTGTTTGTACAAGCTTCTTCAAGCTTCCTGAGGTTTGAAAGCCTCAAAACATGGTTGAGATTTTAGCATACAGAAGTTTGGTGAAGCTGTTGGTTTTATGTCATTTTATTTCTTTGGTAGCTGTCTCGACAGTTGAAGCTAGAATTCGGCATTACAGATGGGAGGTGAAGTATGAGTACAAATCTCCTGACTGCTTTAAGAAGTTGGTCATAACCATTAATGGAGGAACCCCAGGACCTAAAATATTGGCACAGCAGGGTGACACAATTGTAGTTGAGCTTAAGAACAGCTTGTTAACTGAGAATGTAGCGATCCACTGGCATGGAATTCGACAGGTAGTTTCGTACTCTGTTGTTCATTTTCAAGTCAGCATTTGGATATAAAAATATTTAGATGCGAAATTTTTTGTTTGTTTTTGTTTTCTGTATATAAATTGCAGATTGGAACACCTTGGAGTGATGGAACAGAAGGTGTGACTCAATGTCCTATTTTGCCAGGAGATACCTTCATATACAAGTTTGTTGTGGATAGGGTGAGTTTTGGGAACTTGAACCAATTAATGCAATGAGCCAATGAGCAATACTTTTATATTGTTTGCAGGGGATTTGTCTGGTAAAACAGTCTGGCATGTTTGTTGCCAAACTGCCAATCTGGACCGTTGATCATGTGTAATCATGTTTCAATTTACGGCACTAGATTGACAGTTTGACAACATCGCATGCTACAAATGTGAGAAGAAAACATTGCCCATTGTTTACATATCTGCACCAGCTCTGTGAATATGTTTCTGATTATAAACAATGTTTTAATTCATCATACAACAATTGTAGGCAGGGTCATATCTATACCATGCACATTATGGAATTCAAAGAGAAGCTGGGTTATATGGATCCATTACTGTCTCTGTTCCTAATGGAGAATCTGAGCCCTTTGCCTATGATTATGACAGAGGCATTATCCTTAATGACTGGTTCCACAAAAGCACTTATGAGCAAGCTGCTGGCTTGTCTTCCATACCTTTTGTTTGGGTTGGGGAGCCTCAGGTAAATGATTATATCCATTGATTGAAATTACATACATGGACTATTTTGCGTTGTTGATAATTTATATTCCATTAACTTTTCAGTCACTTCTGATTAATGGAAGAGGGAGGTTCAACTGCTCTCTACTAGCAACTCCTAGCCTAGAAGCCGGAGTCTGTAACGCGACAAACCCAGAATGTTCTCCCTATGTTTTGACAGTCATCCCTGGTAAAACGTACCGGTTAAGGATTGGTAGCTTGACCTCTCTATCAGCTCTCAGCTTCCAAATTGAGGTAACTTAAACCTCACCAAGTCTTTGAAAGTTTCAAATGTGTAGATATTATAAAACTTGTCCTTGTTAGTAACAAACTTTTTTTTAATGCAGGGTCACAATATGACTGTTGTTGAAGCTGATGGGCATTATGTGGAGCCATTTGAGACTAAAAACCTGTATATTTACTCTGGTGAGACATATTCTGTCCTGGTAAAAGCAAGCCAAGACCCATCAAGAAACTACTGGGTGACTACAAATGTAGTTAGCAGAAAACCTACAACCCCAACTGGCTTAGCAATCCTCAATTATTATCCAAAATACTTCAAGAAATCCCCTCCAACTCTGCCAACCACAGGCCCTCTATGGAATGACACTGCACCAAGATTGACACAGAGCCTTGCTGTCAAAGCCCACAAAAGTTTCATTCACTCCCCTCCTCTCACTTCAGACAAAGTCATTGTGCTTCTCAACACACAAAATAAGATAGATGGGTACTATAGATGGTCCTTAAACAATGTATCTTTCTCTCTCCCCCACACACCTTACTTGATAGCTCTAAAGGAAAACTTAAACTTAAACCATGTGTTTGATCAAACCCCACCTCCAGAAAACTATGACTTCAAGAATTATGATATATACGCCGTTGCAAAGAATGTAAATGCCACTTCCAGCAATGGCATATACAGGTTGAAGTTCAATACCACAGTGGATATTATACTGCAGAATGCAAACACCATGACTGTGAACAACAGTGAGACACATCCATGGCATCTCCATGGGCATGATTTTTGGGTGCTGGGCTATGGAACAGGCAAGTTTGACATGAAGAAGGATGTGGGAAAATACAATCTTGTAAATCCAATCATGAAGAACACTGTACCAGTACATCCTTATGGCTGGACTGCTTTGAGATTTAGAGCTGATAATCCAGGTGTTTGGGCTTTTCATTGCCATTTAGAATCCCATTTCTATATGGGAATGGGAGTGGTTTTTGAAGCAGGGGTGGAGAAAGTGGGAAAGCTGCCTTCTTCTGTTATGGGTTGTGGAGAAACAAAAGGTTTCCATAGGCCATAGTTCTATAAGTTATTATTTCCTAAAGAAAAGAACAAGTCATTGCCCCATATAACAATCATATATCAATTACATATTGATTGTTGAAGTCCTCAGCAGAGCTTTTACATGTACTGATTTAAGATTTTATAGATTTTTTTTTTCATTTTTAGATATTACTGGAAGCCACTACTTTCTGTTGGCTGATGGTCATTGCTTGGAGTTCATTAGTTATAGAGGAAAAATGTTATTGCATTTGGAAATTTCTGAGGTAACTTTTGTTCATAAGATGCAAACTTATGATTGATTTTTCATAACCAGACATTTTTGTTCAACTTCCCAGATTATAGCCCAGCCTGTAGATACATTCAAGATTTTTAAAGTTCGTGACTAAATTGTAAGACTACCCCTATCATCAAATTAGGGTTACTTTTCAATTGGATGCATCATTTTTTCATTGGACTCAAATGTGACTGAACCTATGGCAAATGAAGCAGAACTATCTGCCTTTTGAGAAAGCAGACGCTTAAAAGTGCTATCTTTTGTACTTCAGCTCACACAGTTTTCGCGAAAAAATACAGAAAGAAGAGTAAAACTCTTCAAAAATATTACAAAAGCAATTCTACATGAGAACCAAGTAACAGCATTCACTCAATTCATTTGAGTTTTTCAAGAATGCTCTCACTTGATGCAAAGGATGCAACCCCTTGTCATCAAAGGTGGCAAGGTGGTTTTTGTCAGCTTACATGATAGTGCAGCTCCCTTGATCCCTACAAATATAAGGCTAATTCATCAGCATACAAACAGAAGATTCTGAATTTTTAACTTACAAGTGGAATGGACGTACTTAAGCTTCTTCGTGTCTTCGTACTTGCCCAAGGCTTCCTCAAACTTGAGCCACTGTGGACCTGAATCTTCAAGATTCACATTCTTTGGTCCCAGGATATAAGCCTGAACAACAAACTCTGGAGTTCTTGACCTGCTTATGGCATACATTGGTCAGTGATATTATCAACCTTAGGAAAGACATTAATTTCAGTGATATTAAACAGACTCACCTTCCTTCATACTCCACTAACCATACTAAATAGGCTGCACCAAAGTACATTGACACAAATGGCATGGAAAGATCATCAGCGGAATGAATTGTGTATGCCTTAAAGCCCATCTCCCTGCACACAAAGAGAAAGTTCAAAGCAAATACAATTATACAAAGGGCAAGAGAACACCAAATAATATTTATTCATTCATAACAGAAGTCTTTTGTTTCTGGTGTCAAGCAAATGATAGTTCTTAAAAGAGTTATTTGATCTGATATGAATTGAATTGACCCCATTTTGCATGGAAGTTCTTTCTCATTCATTTTCTAGGCAATTTAAGGCGCTGTCCAAGCTCAACTCAAGACAGACCATTTATAAATAGGTGGATTTACCACCAGAAACAACCATGATGAGTCAAGATAGTTATCTTTCAAGCTAGGCTCTCTATACAGATGGATTTTAAACTCTTTTCCAATTAAGAAATTTAGTTCTGATTGTGAGATTGACATACTTGTAAAGCCATAAAGCTGTAGAATAGTCGATTCCCATTATTCCAGTACGTGGTCCAACGCCATTCAAGAAACGCAAACTAATAACCTCTGCAAGAGCACCAAGAACTGACTGTGCAAAAAATAAGTCCCACGAAAACAAGAAAAACAAAGTAAAATACACTGCAGAGAAAGACAAAGAAGTGATGACTGAGGTGAGGGTAAAGGTAACAACGCTTAGGAAACTGAAAAGGGAGAAGACTGAAAATGACAAATGGTTTCATGATCTTCCAGGATTTTCCTCAAGAGCATTCTTTTAGACAAATGTGCCTAAACAAAAATTTTAGGCACACAAAAGTATCTCATTTACAGAAACCGGACTTCACAAGTTAGAAGTTACACTTACAGCTTTGATTGGCTTTGTATTAAAGTGTTTTGTGAGTACGATATCTGCAACTGCCTGCAAGAAGTCAATAACATGTTTTGTGGTGACATGTTTCGCATTTAATTTAATCTTGATTTCATTGACAGCACTAACAAAAAAGAATTCCTGAACTTCAAACCATGGTCTTCATTCTAAAAATTCATACCTTCAGTTCTACACGAGAAAGGTATGGTCTTTTCTTGTCATCAAGGGAGAATCGTACTTTTCCCCTTTTCTCTCCAGTTTTGGTCCACTCTCTAGCGACGTCTTCATGATTCCACATTTCTGCCATGTCTTCTGGAGAAGCTCTGGAGTCCCAGTAAATATGATGACCTGATGAAAAGCTTCTTGGCTTAGTAATATAATAGAAATAAAGTAAAGAAATGTCTCAATGTATGATATGGGATCTCTCAGAATTCTTGAGGAATTCTACGTGCTTGCAACTGCAATAGATTAAAGGAGAAGCAAAGTTTCACCAAACATCAGGTATTAAAAAATAAGTACTCAAAATCATTTGTAACAGTAGCTCCCTCTGTAACTAGAAAAAGGAGAAACCTGCGTTGTGTGGTGCGGGTGGTGCAGCATGAGCATGAGGAGGAGCATGAGCATGAGGGGCTGCTGAAGTAGAAACCTCATTTGGAGATGGACAGCCTTCAAAACTTTTTCTGCACAAAAGAAATACACCAGAATCAGCTCTGGAATATATATCTGACAAGGATTTAATGCCTGTTTCTGTTTCGACTTTTCAATGAGACTTCATAACATGTTCACCAAAACATAACATCCTTCACTGCACAACGATTTCTAAATTGGCTTCAATACTTCTTCACCAAAATTTCAAATATTTATACAATTGAGTGGAAAATATTTCATATACTGTTCAGAAAAATACTGTTGTAAAATGCTTAAAGCAAAGTTCCAGATCATAGTGATACAGAGAAGACAACAACCTGGATGGAAGACTTTCCTTGACTGAAAGATACCGTTGCCAATATTTCAAAGTTGATTTGTGAGTTGCCTTTTTGGTACCACCTTTATATGCCCTAACTACATATTCTTCACTTCTTTCTCTGCAAACAAAGACTGAAGCATCAATATCTCATCATGGAACTAACAATGGTAATCATCTTAATTACTTAACATTTACACGTAAGACACATGTAGAGGATCACAAAAACCATTGGAAGATGGACCCAACCAAGTCCACATTCGTACTAGCCGCATACAACCTGACACGAAAAAATTATATATTTTGCAACTTACTGTTGATCATAGCTTGATAACCATTTAAGATAAGCAGCACCAAAATATACGTTTACAAAAGGCTTGAAGAGAAGATCTGGATTCCCTTGCACTGCATATGCCTGGTAGCCCATATCACTGCAAGCAAGTTGCACTTTTAACTTCATTGCAGCAATATAACATAAAAAGTAGATAAACAACATTGCTGCTCAGTATAAGAGTTATGTGCTTCAAATGAAATCAGTGCATATTTTTGGTACCTAGCCAGCCAGTCAGCAGTTTCTGGTAAAAGTTGCATGATCCCTGCAGTGGTGGACTTAGTTTTTTTATCATACCGGGTAGCAAGGGGCTGTCTATCACTTTCAAGTTCAGAAATAGCACGAATCATATCCTGCAGCAGAAGTAGAATGCAAAAGTTAAGGAGGAAAAAGGATATAGCTTGAATCTCCATAAGAAAATCCAAAGCTTAGAATTTCACTCTCTTATTATTTTCATACAGAACAGAGTTATCCCTTTATAAACATTTAGAGTGGAGAGGTACCAGAAACCCCAAATGTCGATGGTCATAGCAAACAACAAGTTTTCAATCTGGAACAGAACATAAACTTCTATGTTGCCAAACATGTTCAAGGTTAGTTTTGTTGAAGAATACACGAGTCCCACATCGGAAACTTAACAAAATAGAAAGTCTCATACAATAAATGGTTTCACTCCTAATAAAATTGAGGCCTTTTGTATAAAACCCCACACCTGCTAAACAGGTGGTTAAGTTGGGGACATTATCGATGATGCTAGTGGTGGGCCAAGGGTCCATTCCTCTGAAATCTTAACAAGTTTTGCACTATCAATCATGAGTCGAAGATAGAAAACAGGTATATCATTCAAAGTAAGATCACAATCATTTTGTTACAGAAATTAAAGATGACAACAATGTGGATTGCCCCTCAATGCCATTGATTGCATTGACTTCACCGTGCTGTTAACACAAGAACGATCTGCCTGCAATGTCTCCAAATTGAAAAAACCTTGCGAGTGCAATGTAGGTTGGTGGGGTTGGTGTTTACTAACAAAATGCAACAGTTGCATTCTCAAGAAAGAGGAAAGTGACAATAAATCAAGTAACATGAACATTGTTTCTACTCAGGGCTTTGGGTGGCCATGCTATCATCATAGACCAACCCAGACATCTCGGCATCGAATTTAGTGCTACATATATAGTAACATGTAAATCTCTAAACTAGCTCCTCCCACTCCACAGAAAACATATCAGAGAAATCAGAGACTGAAGGGATAATAAAAAGGGGAGCAGACGAATCTGTTCTCATCATAGAAAACATACGGGATCTATTTGGTTAGCAAAGTGCCTGCGGATGGTGATCTCAGCCACAATCTGAAAAACAGCCATATGATGCAAGGTAAATTAGACAACAGATTCAGAAGCAAATGACCTGCGTCTTAGAATCTCTAAGTCAAATCAAAATATTCCAAAAACTTTTTGTCTTCAGTCTTTTTTTTCTTTGGACTATCAAAAAGTGTTACCAGAATGATACTTAAAAGGAATGTAAAAACTTCTTAGCTATCCGAAATTCAGTTGAAAAATCTCCAGTGAGAGAAATATGTTGATTTATGAAGTGCAACTTATACTAAGCTAGTAACTAGAATTTCCTTCAATGTAATTAATTACATCTGCAGTTCACCTTCATCTCAGTCTGTGTCAGAAAAGGCTGTCCATCGGGATCGCGCGAGAGATGAACTTTCTGTCCTCTGCTCTCTCCAGCATCTAACCATTCAGCAGTTACACAAGGACTGCTCCACATTTCTTCCAAGTCATGGGAATCAACACAGTCTTCCCAATATTTAAAGCTGACAGCCATCCCAGCAATATTTCTGGATCTTTATCCTAGCATCTGATTAAAAAAAACAAGAAGTTTCAATATCATATCAAGAGCCATTACATAAATTTTTTAAAAGACAATGGAAGCAAAAGAAAAATCTGTGCACTGTAATTTATTTAACATCCACTCCATACAGAAAGTCCTATCATCAAGAGAACATATTACATCAGATTCCATGCCTGTAAGCATGAAAATTAAATCCAATTCTGTGCAATTCATTGCAGCCTTATGGCCATAAAAAATTATTCAAACTATTTCATCCATAACACTAGAATTGGAAACACCAATCAAACACAATTCCAGCCTGATGACCTCCCATGCCCAAAACAAATGAACCAACCTCATAAAAAATGCAGCCATTTTCGCCATTGCATGTAACAAACAATGCACTTAATATAAAAAATAAATAAAAATTTAACCACCCAATCAGCAAGATATAGTTTAACATAATCAAATCAGGAAACCAAAGCCCCCATCACATACCAGCCCATATACATAAATACATAGAAAGACAATGTGCACATGCAAACATATTACGTATGCATATGTAAAGCAATGATCTCGTATCATATACGTGACATGTTATGTTATTCGACCGTGAATTAAATATTTGTATATGATTTCATACATGATTTTGTGTAATCAAAAATTTTGGTTCACGGTCTGGCAACATAAACAGAAAGAGAGAATTTGCTAGGAGGCAAAGAAAAAAGTGTGGATTGGATTACCAGCAGCAGAGGCGAAATGAAGGAAGAAATAGTTTCCTTCACCTCCTCCAGGGGCTGATGCTAAGAGAGAGAGAGAGAGAGAGAGAGAGAGGAAATGTTTGTGTGTATTATATGAAATGAAGGAGAAAAACAGAAGAAGATGGACAATTGACCATTGTTGCCGGGAAGTTCTGTGGCAATGCCACTCTTGGTTGCGCAGAGCTTGTTAGAGAATGACACTTGGCGTTCCAAGCATAACCAATGCTGAAATTTTTCCCCTTTTTTTTTCATTTTTTTAAATTATAAAATTATAAATATTTAGTACATGCCAACAAAATTACAAATATGGAAAGGAAAAAGTTTACTAAGAAATCTTTTCTATGAGGGACAATCTTACAATAGTTCATTATTCATATTGGTCCGAAATGAGATATATACTAAAAACTGTTAGCAATAGTCAATTAATGAGGATTAGTTTGGCACCTACAATGGTTGGTAGCCTACAATGTTTAGTCAATTAATGTGTTAATTATGTAGTCAATTAATGTTTGGCACCTACAATATTTGGGGGGCTTGACTAGTTTGGTTGCCTAATTAGTTTGGTTGCCTAACTTGGTTGGTTGCCTAACTTGGGGGGCTTGACTAATGTCTTAGGAACTTGTATATATATGTGTTGATTGTAAGGAATGAAACATAAGTGAAAATCAGAAAATATTCTACAACTCTCATTCTCTCTACACTTTCCACTCTCTACTCTCAATATTCTCTATGTTTTAGCATGGTATCAGAGCCTATGGCTAATCCTTAAGATCCTCTATCAAATTGAGAGTCGTTGGCGTTTTTTCATGTTGCTGTAAATTCTCTTCTTTCCATTAAATTTCCTCTCTTTTATCTGTATGGGCAATAAGTCCCTTGGCCACGATGGCCTAATTTGTTTCCTATGGGCAGTACGTTCCTTGATCACCATGATCTCTTTCCTCCGTGAGCCTCATCATCGCTCACCGAGCCATTTCCTTTCCTCCGCGAGCCTCGTCACCGCTCGCTGAGCCTTTTCCTACTCGGCCTTGTCTCTGTCATGCCGAGCTACACTACTGCCGTTGTTCCCTTTGCACAGCCACTCTGGTGTTTGCATCATCTCTCAAGCTCTAACGAGCTTCCTTATGTTTTTTCTTTGACTTTTCTGCTGGTCTCTATCTTCTTTGCTGCTATCTTGAGCTCTCTTTCTCCTTCTCGTTTTTTAGCACCCTTTCTTTGTCTCTTTTTTTGGTGGGTTCCTTTTTTGTTTGTTTGTTTCTTATCACATATTGTCTTTCTTCATCATTTCCTCTTGTGCCCACGTGATAGGTGTCTTACTTGTAGAACGATCTGCCTGCAATGTCTCCAAATTGAAAAAACCTTGCGAGTGCAATGTAGGTTGGTGGGGTTGGTGTTTACTAACAAAATGCAACAGTTGCATTCTCAAGAAAGAGGAAAGTGACAATAAATCAAGTAACATGAACATTGTTTCTACTCAGGGCTTTGGGTGGCCATGCTATCATCATAGACCAACCCAGACATCTCGGCATCGAATTTAGTGCTACATATATAGTAACATGTAAATCTCTAAACTAGCTCCTCCCACTCCACAGAAAACATATCAGAGAAATCAGAGACTGAAGGGATAATAAAAAGGGGAGCAGACGAATCTGTTCTCATCATAGAAAACATACGGGATCTATTTGGTTAGCAAAGTGCCTGCGGATGGTGATCTCAGCCACAATCTGAAAAACAGCCATATGATGCAAGGTAAATTAGACAACAGATTCAGAAGCAAATGACCTGCGTCTTAGAATCTCTAAGTCAAATCAAAATATTCCAAAAACTTTTTGTCTTCAGTCTTTTTTTCTTTGGACTATCAAAAAGTGTTTACCAGAATGATACGTACAGTTGTAAAAAGGAATGTAAAAACTTCTTAGCTATCCGAAATTCAGTTGAAAAATCTCCAGTGAGAGAAATATGTTGATTTATGAAGTGCAACTTATACTAAGCTAGTAACTAGAATTTCCTTCAATGTAATTAATTACATCTGCAGTTCACCTTCATCTCAGTCTGTGTCAGAAAAGGCTGTCCATCGGGATCGCGCGAGAGATGAACTTTCTGTCCTCTGCTCTCTCCAGCATCTAACCATTCAGCAGTTACACAAGGACTGCTCCACATTTCTTCCAAGTCATGGGAATCAACACAATCTTCCCAATATTTAAAGCTGACAGCCATCCCAGCAATATTTCTGGATCTTTATCCTAGCATCTGATAAAAAAACCAAGAAGTTTCAATATCATATCAAGTGCCATTACACAAATTTTTTGAAAGACAATGGAAGCAAAAGAAAAATCTGTGCACTGTAATTTATTTAACATCCACTCCATACAGAAAGTCCTATAATCAAGAGAACGTATTACATCAGATTCCAAGCCTGTAAGCATGAAAATTAAATCCAATTCTGTGCAATTCATTGCAGCCTTATGGCCATAAACAATTATTCAAACTATTTCATCCATAACACTAGAATTGGAAACACAAATCAAACAAAATTCCAGCCTGATGACGTCCTATGCCCAAAACAAATGAACCAACCTCATAAAAAAAGCAGCCATTTTCGCCATTGCATGTAACAAACAACGCACATAATATAAAAAATAAATAAAAATTTAACCACCCAATCAGCAAGATATAGTTTAACACAATCAAATCAGGAAACCAAAGCCCCCATCACATACCAGCCCATATACATAAATACACAGAAAGACAATGTGCACATGCAAACATATTACGTATGCATATGTAAAGCAATGATCTTGTATCATATACGTGACATGTTATGTTATTTGACTGTGAATTAAATATTTGTATATGATTTCATACATGATTTTGTGTAATCAAAAATTTTTGGATCGACATTCTATTAAGAAGAAGCTTGATGCGGAAATATTAATAACGACAGTCTCTCTTTTGGCAAGTTGGTCATTGATGATATCTATGCACCAACTTGAGGGGGAGTGTTAGCAATAGTCAATTAATGAGGATTAGTTTGGCACCTACAATGTTTAGTCAATTAATGTGTTAATTATGTAGTCAATTAATGTTTGGCACCTACAATATTTGGGGGGCTTGACTAGTTTGGTTGCCTAATTAGTTTGGTTGCCTAACTTGGTTGGTTGCCTAACTTGGGGGGCTTGACTAATGTCTTAGGAACTTGTATATATATGTGTTGATTGTAAGTAATGAAACATAAGTGAAAAATCAGAAAATATTCTACAACTCTCATTCTCTCTACACTTTCCACTCTCTACTCTCAATATTCTCTATGTTTTAGCAAAAACAATGAGGTAGAACTACTTTAAATTACTCTAATTTACGGAAAAATGGATGGAACTCAGGTGTAAGGGAACCGATACACTGACTTAGCCATGTGGCCTACCCCAAATGTGTGAAATTGAATGAAATATTGAGAGATGAGTGAAAATGAATATAAAATAGGAGAAGAAGTTCCATATAAAAATATGAAAGAAGAGCTGGTGGATCCATTACTCAGGCCCAAACTTACTTTTAAGAAGAATGAATGGATCTGTCCATGGCTTTTAAATACTTACAGAGAGAGTGGGAATGAAGAGATGAGAAAAGTTGACAAGAGAGGTAGAAAACACAAAATGATTTAAAATGAAATGAAAAAAAATATCAGATGATCTTTGGTGCTACGATTTATTTTATCTCCATTCTTGCCTACCTCTTTATCAAAATCTTCATCTCACTTCCCACTCTCATAGTTTTCGTGTCATGATTCTGGGTACCCTTCAATCAATTGGTTTATTAATGATTATCGACTTAACCTTTCCTTTCTTTAAGCTCAAGGTGACCATGGTCTGTTGAGTGCCAACCATCATTAGTTCTAAAAACAACTTTAATCTCTTGATTAATAGATAACCCAAATGTTGATTTCTTCTTATATATACATGCATCTAATATAATTATGGTCGAAATATAATCAACTTCTCCAAGGTGTGATTGTCACATTGTCACATGATGTTACTAATTCATGGGTATCGGCAAAGTTGATATTTTTAAAATCTATCCTCGAAGTTACATCTTCCAACAACTTTACTAAGCCTTTTGGGATGCTTATTCTTTAAAGCTGTTGAGGCAGCTAGACCTAATCCCAAATGGAAGTATGCTATACCTAAATCCTCATATCAAAGTTCACGGACAGATTTGACAACCAAAAAAAAAAGTTATAGACAAAATGGTCTTACTTTGCTTAAACAAATTAATTCTAATATAATTATGGTCGAAATATAATCAACTTCTCCAAGGTGTGATTGTCACATTGTCACATGATGTTACTAATTCATGGATATCGACAAAGTTGATATTTTTAAAATCTATCCTCCCCGTTACACCTTCCAACAACTTTGCTAAGCCTTTTGGGATCCATATTCTTTAAAGCTGTTGAGGCAGCTAGACCTAATCCCAAATGGAAGTAAGCTATACCTAAATCCTCATATCAAAGTTCACGGACAGATTTGACAACCAAAAAAAAAGTTATAGACAAAATGGTCTTACTTTGCTTAAACAAATTGATTTAAACTAGTAGCTCGTCTCTCTCTTCTCATGTTTCTTCTTCTAGAGTTGTTGATAGGTACCATCAACAAATTTCTATGATGTTGGAGATTGTCATCATGTGATAGGAAACACATTAGCATCACCCAGGTGTTTTGTGTAATAGTCCAAACCTGTGCGGTTGTGCCAAAGAAAATGTTACATGTGATACCTTTATTGAGACATCAGACACATCATGTCATTTCACAAAACAAATAAGCATTAGTTGGCACATATGCCTTCCGGCCTTCACCTTTCGTCTTTATGCCAAAAAGAAAGATTATAGGAATATTACCGCCCACGCGTAAGTGATGTTCGACTATTGATGCATCAATGTATATGTTGACTAACTCACAAGGCAGTTCTCAACCGCTAATGCAACCGAGTGCATGAACGACTAATTAGTATGAGTGATTCTCAACTGTTGATGCAACTAAGCGTATAGCCTCACAAAACAAATAAGCATTAGTTGGCACATATGCCTTCCGG